CCAGAGCCTTTGCTACTTTTAGTCTTTCCCAGAAAGGCTAAATAGTTGAGAAAAATAGGATAATATTACTTCAGCTTCTTGACCCTTCCAACCTTTAATTTCATATCAAAATGTTGCCATCTTCGATAGAGCCCAGAGGTTAACTATTCAGGAGTAAAAACTATCCAACCTTGCCGACTGCGCTACTACATTTTAACCTAACCATTAGTTCATGATAACAACCTCAGTATAGTAACAATAGATTGATAAAAACACAGCAATGCAGGACTGACGGTTAATTTTTCCACAATACGTCTTTATTGAATTTCATATAACTTCGCTTCCCATAACGTATTTTTATTTGGGGTGGAATACAGTTTCAACACAATCTCAGTCACTTTAGCAGCCCAAGCGGAACTCGAGCTGTTACAATGCAGCGTATAGCTCGACCCCCAACCACTAAGCCAGATTGCCACGAATGTCCTTGGGTCACAGTAGAGATGTGAATTTCAAGGAAGGCTATGCATTTTGTCATGTCACATTCTGCATGGGATTGTCGATAAACCAAGGTTATATTGGCCATAGCAATCGTCTATATTACCTATTTTTCACATATAAATAGGCTTTCGAGTCTATCAGTAGAAAATAAATATGATCTGTAATTATGTTATTTCGTCAGGGTGATGAAGAACTAGTAGTTGCTTTTTTCCTGCAATGATATGATATTTAATGGGAACGTTAGGCCTACTCATATCATCATAGTCAAATTTAAACTACCAATCTTTCATTACCCTAAACGAACTAGTGTGAATACATTTCATACATACATTCACCTGATAATGTTGAAAGCCTGGTTACAAACAAATACTAAGTGTTGCAGCCGAATGCCTAGCAAATAAAACTTTGATTCATCGACATTTCCACTAAAGTATATGATATGGCATAATTCTCGACCCTGTCGCTAAGGGCATTCGTAAAGGTGTGGCACTACAATGGTACGAATCCCGCTGGGAAGCCTGAAGAGACACAATTTAGGCGGAAATTGTTGTCCACCCTGGATGATAAAACCTTTTGGGACGCAAAGTCATGTTAAATTCGATGAAATCGTAAGGTCTACTCATATGGTTGTGAGAAAATGCAACTAATATTCATTTTAATACCTTAAACTAAATATGATGAGAATATTTTATATATTTGGTCTATTAGTATTGTCGAAACCTTCTTATTAACGAAAAATACTATAAAATAATGTGAGTAAAGCGAGAAGGTTTTGAGGCTATCAGAATAGCTGGACTTAGGGCTGTCGTCATACTTGGTTCCAAAGGGTTAGGAAGACTGGTAATTGACCTTTTCTACATATTACCATTGAATTTTACTCAACTATTTTTCCCTGAATCGATTCTCATCCCTGCTGGAATGGGCTCCAGCTTCTACCTATTCTGGGTCTCATCAAAACCTTGAACGGGAATCAAAACTGGATTTCGAATAAAGTATTGTTTTCGTGACTATCAGTAAATCAGTAACATGAGATGTATTCACCCAATTTCGTTGAAGGTAATTAAGGACTGATAGAGGAAGAATTTTCCCACAATGATATGAGTTGAGCTGAGGCTTCCATTGA